AGGAAATAATTAGCAAAGGAATGAGAGAATCCATCAGGTAGTTCATCCATTCACTTGTGGGACTTACACTTCAGAGCATCTCTGCTTGTGGCAGAAAGATGGAGAGGATGATCCAAAAGCCCTTTGCCAATTCTGACTTTTCTGATTCATGAACTATTCTCTATAATATCCAGTGGGAATATTAAGTTGTCACATAAAAAAAAAATTAGCAGGAAGGTCACTAAAGTGTACCTGATACCTATAGTAGGACACTGAAGACTGCTCAGACAATAAGGGAGTTGGTGGGGGTGAAACTAAATAAAACATGTAGAAAAGGAGTAAATCTGTGAGCTTCACAGTTAACCTCATGTCTCCCTTTATGTTTCCTAAGCAGAGTGAGTGTCACAGCCTAAACACATAGTTGTCTGTGTATCATTTCTGTATCATCCTGTCATTCTCTTTTTTTTCCATTGCTCATATGTAGATCATCAACTGTCTAGAACAGAGTTGTGACAAGCATGAAATTCAGTAGTGCAAACTAGTGACCAGTTCCTAATGTCTTAGCTGCTCTGGTCACTAAATGCAGGTGTAGGTATAAGATCAAGGAGGCCAACTCAGCTTTAATGTGCTTTTAAACAAAACCAGTAGAAAGTTCTTCCAATGAATCATCCAATATCAGAAACTCTTTTTTTTTTTTTAACTTTTGTTGTTACTGCATAGTAAAAAGAATCTTGTTCTAATTTCTGTGCAGAGCTCTCAAGTCAGCTGGAAGCAAGGCTCTTGAGCATCAGTTAAGTGTTTCCTTGTGAAACTCCAAAATATGCAATTGTATCTACTGATTTTGCTTCTTTCACCTTTTTTCGTTTAAGGATGAATTATGTAAAGGTGTGGGGTTTTTTTTGTCTTCGTTCTCTGCTCTGTGGTTTATTCTTGACAATTCAAATCCTCCTGTGGTTTAAAGCCTGAGTTAATCTGCTGGATTTCACTCTCTGAAAGACAGTCTACTTGGAATATTTCAAGGGGAGAAAGGAGACTTTTGCAGGATTTCATTAGTTATATTTGCACATATGTGGAACACAGCTGAGACTCTTATTAAACTGTATTCTAGTAGTGAGCTGGCCTTTTTTTTTCCCCACTTCATATGTTTTGCCTTTTAGACTGGTATTTGATGAGCTGAATGGAAGGCAAGTATCTGCTCTGAGAAGGTCTGTCTTGATAATGAGGGAGTGTAATTGCATATGTTTTAAATACTGGCCTTGCAATCAGCCAGCTTGAGCAGTAGTGGGACATTAACAGGTTTTATTTCACATGCCACTGGCAAGTGACCTGCCCTCTCCTGCATTGTGGGTCTGGCTTAGCAAGGACTTGTGTGTGTCTGTTTCTGCCCAAGTCTGAATGTCTTGCACTAGATATCAAGCAGGGAGTTGTTTTCTTCTGGATTAAATATCTTGAATGGGGGCACTAACTTCTTAATTTTGTGTGGGCCTTGTGTAGTTCATGGTTTGCTCTTGGGCAAACTACAATTTCTAAAGCAATACTTGGAAATGAAAGCTTGACTGAGAAAGGATGGAGGTGGCAGAAAGCATGTTCCTTGAGAGGTGTAGAGCTGAACCAAAATCCTTTCAAGAGTGTATGAATAGTGCATGTCTGATATGTCCATTGATAAACACATGTTGCTGAGAAAGTTCTTAAGAGCCTTAATTTCTTCTACTACAAAACCTGGTGCAAAAAAAAATAATAATACAGAGTGCACATTCTCCAAGTTTGCAAGTTTCCCTGAAATAACAGTTTACTTGAGCAACTTTCCATCTGAGCTGTTGTTAGCTGCACGTTTAATCAAGGCTGTCTTGACAGCATCCATAATTCTAAAATGCAAACAAAGCAGCCCTGGCAAGCTACTGACTGTTTAAATGAATGGGGGATTATTAAGCAAAGGCACATACTTCAGTTTCACTTGAAATGCTGAAGTGCATCACTAGTTGCCAAATATGAAGAAGAATGTTGGAGAGGTAGCTGGTCACGTGACACTTGGGGAGTAAAGACAAAAATGAAATGCTATAAAAGGCTAATAGAAGCTCTTCATTTTCATTCCCAGCTAATGTTTTATTTTAAAATTGTCCTTGTGTAGGTAATTTCATAAGGACCCTGTAGATCACTCTTCTCTGTTTTCATACATGTGGTCACAGGAACTGCCCACATCTCAGTACCCATCCTCATGTGCCACTGCTGTGATTGCCCGTGGTCAGTCCCTGCCACTGCCAGGCAAGCACACACGCACATTTTGCACGTGTGAAGTTTGGAAATCTACGGGGCAGTTTCTGCATTGTGTTCCAGCTGTATCGTGCCACTCAGGAAGACTTGATTTGCCAAGAGAAAATTTCCTTGGTGCACCCAGTGCTGTCAACTCCTCTACCAGCACTCCCAAATATGCTCCAGGCAAGAGGCTGAGGCAGCATCAACAGAGATGAGATGTGCTCCCAGAATGTCACAGCACGCAGCAGAGCCAAGGTAGGCTGGAACAATCCTCCTCATCTCTTTCTAGGGAGAGTTCAGATGTAAAAGGATTTGGCCCTGGATCTTCATCTTATTGTTCTTCCTCTGCTTGAAATATATAATGAGATCCTTGACCACCTGAAAAACAATTTTTAAAAAATCTATAATAATATCTATTTTTTTAAAAAGGTTAAAATATACTCACAAAGATCTAGATTGTTTTTCTGCGGATCTGAAAAACAGTAACACTATTTTAATAAGCTGTTTACCTAGTGATTGCTATCTTGGCTACAGTGATGGTCTCTTTCACAGGCTGCTCTCCTAATGGATTTATGTACCTCCTCTGAAAATTTCTTTTATGAATCACAATGCTTTGAATCACCAGGTCAGAATTTCAGTTACTTTTGCATATTTCCATGGCTCTCCCTACAGCTTTTCAGGTGGACTGTACCTTCAGCTTCAAAGAAAGGCAATTTCACCCCCAGTTGTGCTCAGCTGGAACTAGTACCTTTGCAATTTACTATCATTTGACATGTAGAGACTGAAAGCAAAGGAAATATTGGAAAACGGCTGAAGTATTCATAGATTGTACATGGAAATACACTTTCCTTCTTTGCTTGGTGAATGTCTCCTGTGTTTACTGCCCTGCCTGGGTGTCTGATGGAATGACCTACTAATAACCCATGATTGCAGCCACAGTGAAGGTCATGCTGGGGGATTCATGTTTATGCTGCCAGAGGAGAGAGAAGCAGCACGGTGCAGAGCTGTGGCTCCTGGCAGGCTGGTCTGCCTCACCATAAGATATTACCCTCACATGAAAATGCATTTAAGTGTTCCAGGATGTACACTCCTATGTGTTTTATATACATATGCATAACATTATTTTTAGAAGTTCTTTACCGACAGAAGTGAGATTCTTTTTTTGACACACACCTGGCAACTCTGTCTTCTGCATAGCTTATCAAAGCACTTTTAAAAAGAATCCTGGATTTTAAATATATGGAATTAGTCCAGGCTTCAAGTAAAAAAGAACCTTAAATTCCTTGCTGAGCTAAGGAACAACGAGAGATGTTTTCTAGTCCTTGCCCATGTCTCCTTCCTTACCCAGTTTTTGCTGGCTGCTGTGCTCCCCTCAGAATCTGAGGGTCATCTTGAAATCTTCATGCAAATCTTTTCTGTTTCTCTGCTACTAACC